GAAATGGACGGTACTTATTCAATTATACTTGGTTACAATGATGTGCAAGTAAATATAACTTTGGAATCATTCTGTTACAAGCTTTTAGCAAGACTAAATGTGCAGGAAATAATTGTATTCATAAATAGACAACATTTCACTAGGTCCAGGCATGATTTTATCTAACATATGGTTCGTTTGATGAATATTTCAGTCTTCTTTCTGTACAATTATCAAGTTATATTATGACTATTGAAACAACTTATATCATGCAAAACACATTTAATAACTGAATGTATACATATGATTGTATCTGCATTTATTGATATTTTAGTACACCCTTTAGACCTGAAGGAAAACAAAAATACCTTAATAACAATAAAATACTTTTACAGTGAATATTTGCATAAGAATTCTTAAAAAACGTTATTTTTGTACTACAATTGTCTGATAAATTTACCCCACCCACTTTTAATAAGTATAAAAACCTTCACATTTTTGTTTGTTTTTTGTTACAATTATACATAAAACATAGTGTTGATTGAATATCAAATACACTTTAAGAAACTATGTAACTTTTGTAATTTTTTACATAGACCTAGAAAAACTATGTTAGAGAAAAATGAAAAAAATGGCACTTTTTCTTTGATTTTTTTAAAAATTTTTTTTTTGTACAAAAAAACTAAAAACATGACTAACAATGTGGTTAACCTAAATTTGATTTTTTTCTAATATATTTCACAATTTTATATGGAAATACGCATACCGTGTGCAAAAAAAATTATACTACAAAAGAGATATATCAAATTTCATTATATTGGCAGCCATATTGGACGCCATCTTGGATTCTGAAGAAATTTGCAAGAGAAATTGCTTAAAGATTTAAATTTTTGAAAAGGGGAAACTATATGCATGCTTTGTTGTAAGTTTCAGGTCTGTACAAAAAATTGGAATAAATGATCTATTGATGTACATCAAATTTACATGGCGGCCATCTTGAAAATGGCGGCCATCTTGAATGAGCAGAGATATTTTTGGGCCCACTTCACTTTTGAAATCTACATGGTCTAAAGATAATTTCCTGAAAGTTTCATGCTTGTATCACAATTTGCACTATTTTGACAGCAGAGACCTTATTTCCCGCCCCACTATTAGAAGCAACTTCAAAATACTAAATATAAAAAAATGAATAAATCCTTAACTTTTAGCTTTAAAAACTACTTAAAGCAGAAGTAACACAGTCCTAATTAAGTTTTTATAACTCTTTATTAGGATTTCAACAGTTTTTAAAGAACATTAGGATTTTGCACCAGACGTTGTCATTATATTTGAGATTTTCGACCATTTACATACACAGGACATGTATGAAAAGTGGCCGTGCGACCACACATCACAGCATTCCCCCTTCTCTTACGAGAAATGGACTAATAGAATCTATCATTGGGTTAGATAGAGGATAGGGAAATCCCAACCCGAGGGTGATCGGTTCCATCGGGAACGAGCCTTGGCGAGTTCCCGATGGAACCGATTGCCCGAGGGTTGGGATTTCCCTATCCTCTATCTAACCCAATGATTGATTATTTTTCTCACTCACCTGAACACACAAATATCAGTGAATCTACTTGCTACGCCCATTACAAACGTACCTAGTTTTGAAAAGGGGGCGGGGCTTAGGCGCCTGACTTTCTATGATTAAAAAGCATTATGTACGTCCGCAAAAAATTGTTCTGACCAAGTTTATGTGTGAAAATTTAATGAAAATAAATTCATATGAGACCTCTCATGAAAAAGGAAGGTTATCATGATGAAAACACATCGATATTAAAAACGGAAAGTGCCAAAAATATAAGTGTTTATAAGGAATTCAGTCCATACTTCAATGGTTGACAAAAAAGCGTTTACCGTTTGCAAAGGTTTTTCTACTTTTTCGGTTATTTTGGCCGAATATTCAATTAAAATATATCAAAATGAGATTCGTCATCAAAAAGCATCGTTATCATAACAAAAAACATGAATGTTTTTCAGGCAAAGTGTCATAATATCCGATTTTACGAAGAACGTTTCGATATTTTAAAGTGTGCTATTTTTAGTAACAGATCGTTATTGGAAAGGGCGGATCTAGGTAGAGTAGGACTCATTGCAGTGTGAAAGTTAATATCAATCTATTTTGATTCCGTAGACAATTTAATAGATTAGCTTACAAATTTTTAATACATTTTGACCTTTTGACGTTTAATTTTTGTTAAAAATAGGAGTGAATCGCGTATTATTTAGAACTGCTGCACGTTGAGTGTGAGATAAGCCAATGTGAGATAAGATTTTCCAACACCGCTATTTTTAGTAACATTTAAGGATTTTTCTATCTGGTTAGTGAGAAAAAAAGTTGTCTTCTCTTTTACTACAGGGCAGATTTTAATATATATGCTATTTTATTATTGTAATCTTTAAGAAGGCTAATTTTCACAAATATGTCTTGAATTGGTCTTTTAAAATTTCATTTCTTTGGACTAACTATCAATCTGGGAATATCAAGACTAAACGTTTTGGATGTGCAGCTTGGCATACATGTATCTCTATAGTGGTAAAAAAATCGGTTCCATCAGTTTATAGGTGCATTGTTGTAAACAGTGGTCATATGTACACAACTGCTTTTAGACCGCCTCCGTGGTCGAGGGGTTAGAGTCGATGCCTTCTAATCCAGTTACCTCTCTGGCGTGGGTTCGATCCCCGAGAGATGCTTTGGCAGTTTAGCGCGGAGGAAGGTAGTCTAGTACTGGGGTAACTCTCCAGGAACGATGGTTAGGAAACTACCCGCCTATATGACTGAAATACTGTTGGGCAAACAAACAAAACAAACAAACACAACTGCTTTTGATCTAAGCTCATTCAGTACATGTATAATACCTTTAATACCGATAAAACCGCAGGCAAAATTGCTTATAGACGAAAGGTCGACACAAAATATAAAAACAAATCTGATCTTTGACTTAAATCATTCTAGAATAAACTTCTCGGTGATGTCGTACGACATGTGGGCTGGTAAATGAAAAACGTAAACAATTGTGTTTTATCACCAAGGGGCTCTTTGGCATGAATTGTGATCGTCAATTTGTAATACCGACTAATTTCAACCGATCACATCACAGCAAATCCTTTCCTATCTGATAGATAGCTAGTCCCTAGATCACCTACATAACGTTAATACAAATGTATAGACATAAAACGAGTTGTTTAACATGAATTTAGATATTGCGACATTCAACGGTAGTGTTGTGACATTTAAAAATGCAATCTCCACGCAGTGATCTCCCCTTAATTCTTCGGCATAGATCTCTGCCACCAAGGTCCCGATATATCAGAATTTCTGATATACTATATTTTTTTCAAAAATTGTTTTATTTACTGCTTTTATCTATCAGTTAAGTTTTTTCTCAATGATTAAACAATGTTTATGGATAAATAAATAAATAATATGAATATTTAGAAATAATTTTAAAATTATGAGAATATTTTCTACCGAGACAATATTTTGATATTTTATATTTTTAGCTTTTGAATTTATTTTTCGTTATTTTGTACACTTTTGATAATTTTTTGATAAACTATATCGAACGTAGGCACTAAAAGTTAAAAATAAAACAGAAAGAGAAAAATGACGTTAGATTTTCCATGTAACGGTCGATATTTACATTTGAATTTCGACGTTACGTCATGTGACTTTCATCATCATGTGACGTCTTTGAAGGCAGTGATTACAATTCTGCCAAGGGAGGTAATCACTGTGAGGAGTTTGGGGAAAATGGTGCGACATTTAACGTCATCATTGCGACATTTAACGGCAGATGATTTTGCGACATTTAGCGGCGGTGGCGACATTTGGCGACAATAGTGCGTCATTTAGCGGTAAGTGCGACATTAGGCGTCGTTGCGACATATAGCCGCGCCACATTTTGCTGTTAGTTTAAAGACAAACCAAAATGAAGATCTTAATAGTTTAAAAAATAATTTGAATATAAACAAACATCTCAAACATTAGTAAGCTTTAAAACAAGGAGGCTAGATGTATATATTCATTCGGATAGTTTACAGTTCGAATGTACAATGTAATTCACACAGTTCATTTACCGGTTAAGACGTTCAATCTCTCACAAGTCGGCATCATGTGTGTACATGTCATTCAATTATAGGCTGTGATGGATATTAGAAATGAATGGTGATTCGACATAAGCAACATATATGCCTACTATTTGGTTTCTGAAAATTTTATTAATAAATAAATATTTTTAAAGATCAAGCTGCTTCCGGCTACTTGTACTCTGTTTATAACCATCTTTAGTGTTGCCCTAGAAGGAAGTTTGGTTGAGTAAACTTGTGCTTAAGATAAGTGTATGATTAACAAATAAAACATGGCCTTGAGGGCAATATGCAAGTTTACGGACTGGGTAGGTATATGGCCCGAAGCGCAGCTGAGGGACATATACCTTCCGAGGTCTGACCAACCAGTCCGTAAACTTGCATTTTGCCCGAAAGGCCATGTTTTATTTGTTATATTATACCGAATCTAAATCATTTCATCCCTTTTGTTGCTGACATTTTTTCTATAATTTACTTTCAAATAATAATTTATTTGTTCAGTGTGTGAAATATTTCAAACCCTAGTCGGAATTATTATTATAATTTTAAAGCGATACAGCAAAAAAATCATGCTCTTCTTTTGTTATTCAATTTTTAAAAATCAAATTAAACAGGCAGAAAACGAACTTTAGGATTTAATATGACGTCATCCAGTCCATATAAGATTTATGGACCGCCCCCGGTCTGTATGCGGTTTATGGACCGGGTGACGTCATATTAAATATAGAAAGGCGTATGCAAATGAGGTATAATATTTGTGAATAAGATACATCTTTGGTTAGAAAAACAAAACATGAAAATGCTGTTTCTGATGATATGTCGTTTCTTAGAAATAATTGAATAACAAGCGTAACTACATGTATATGGTGGAAAAATTAAATTACAAATTAAACGATCAAAAATAAAAGTTTTTAGACAAAATTCTAGACTAGCTTAAACCAATTGTAATAGAAAATCATTGAACAAGAAAAGCAATCACAATATGTACTCAAACGTGACAGTTTTTATCTAAAAACATTTAAATATTCCCGTCGTCTATATGTGTTTGTGTTTCAAGCTTCGTGTCTTTTAGGAACTCAGTATTGGTAGGAATGGAAGCGGAAGTGTCCGTAGCGAGTACCGAGTTTCTAGACCAGCATACCATCCGAACAAATCTTTGTCGAAATTGGCGACAACACAAGATGTAAACAAAGAAATTGCTTGAATGGTTTAGTTGTTCAAATGACATTGCGACACCCGCAAGAATGATATACTCTATCTTCTTTGATGAGAAAAATGGCTCGTTGGTCCAAAATGTTAAAATGAGGACAAGTGAAATTGGTGTGACACAAACAATGTAAGTTATGACAATGCCGATCAGCATTACTGTGACTCGAGATGTATCTTTTGCACTTCTGTCAATGTTGTTATGCTGCAGAACTTTACGGTGATATTGGCTTCGGCACAGTTTTACAATAATCAAAGGCGTAAGTATGAGAAGAATAATAATCGGGATAATCGAATAGCACATAGCCCCAACAATTACAAATGATTTGTGCAGGCTTTTCGTATTAGGAGACGTCACGTCTGACATACATGTTTCATTTACAATGTCTGTAGAAAATGTCCAAATTCCCGAGACCGAAATCATCACTGAATAAATAATAAACACAGCTGTACAAACCGTCGTTTTCGTTAGAAATTGTTTTGCCTTTAGTGGGAACATGATAGCAACAAATCGTTCTACTGCCACTAGAACAATGAACCAAGATGACGACATTTTTCCCGTTCTATACATGACAAAGAAAAATTTGCATCCAGTCTTTGACAAAGCTCGTACGTCAAGCATCCAAAGTTTGGTCATGAATTGTTGGTTAAATGGATTTGTGAAGAGAAGAAGAGAATCAGAGACAGCCAGCGCGTACAAGATAAACCGTGATGTCATTTGATGAAACTGTGCACGTGAAACAGTCAATACTGTACATATATTTCCTACAATACCAACAACAAACAAAGTTGGACAAACGAAGTATTGTGCTGTATTCATTTTCTGTTGAATTTGGTCTGCAAGTCCAGTTAATGATGCAGGTAGACTCGTGTTCCCATTTTCGGAAAATATTATATTTGCTTCAGTTGAAAGATTGAAAGTGTCAGTAAAACCTATTGACGCGTTAGCCATTTTCTAAAAAGCACTCGTTAAATATAACTAATTAAAACTGTTAATATATAATGTGTTTAGTATGTAAATAATTTACACCTGAAATATATTCACTCCTTTTTAAGCCAACCTAATTTATTTCAAGCCAATATTTCATTTCAAGAAAATTGTTCAAGTCAATATGAGATGCACCTTATCACTGTATTTCTAGCACAATAACGGTGATATTGTAACCGATGCGTATATATACGTAGTTTGGCTGTCAATTCGCCAATAACAACAAAGCTGATCACGCCTATCATTGATCTTGTGCTTTAGTACCGTAGAAATTTTAATACAGTCCTACATGTGAAGCGCATATGTAATTTCAGAGAAAAAAAACGATAAAGAAATATAAGAAAAAAAATAAATCAACCATGAAACCTCTATAGTTGTGTGTATTCGTACATCAAAATATTTAATATTTTAAGAAGAAGAAAAGTATTCGTACCTTAGAATTAAAACTATAAGAAGACTTGTACCAGAAATTATTCCTTAGATATGATTTTTTAGACAATACAGTGATACATGTATTTAACAAATAAAACATAGCCTTGAGGGCAATATGCAAGTTTACAGACGATTGGTCAGACTGAGGATGGTATATGGCCCGAAGGCCATGTTTTATTTGTTATATTATACCGAATCTACATCCTTTCATTCCTTTTGTTGCTGTTTTTTATCCCCCCGCCATGTAATGGCCGGGGCATATAGTGTTACCCTGTTTCGTCCTTCCGTCATTCCGTCCTTCCGTCATTCTGTCATTCCGTCATCATTAGTTTCCGTTCATTATCTTAGTAACGGTTGCACACATTCAAGTCAAATTTACCATGTGGATATGTCATGAGAAAATACAGGTCAAGTTCGATTTTGGTCATGGTTCGATGATTTTTGACAGAGTTATGCCCCTTTTACTTTGAAAATAATATGAAATTTTCAGTTTCCGTTCATTATCTCCCCAATGGTACAACACATTCAACTCAAACTTTAAATATGGATATGTCATGAGAAAATACAGGTCAAGTTCGAATTTGGTCATGATTCAATGATTTTAGGCAGAGTTATGCCCCTTTTACTTTGAAAGTAATATGAAATTTTCAGTTTCCGTTCATTATCTCCCCAATGGTACAACACATTCAACTCAAACTTGACATATGAATATGTCATGAGAAATACAGGTCAAATTCTAGTTTGGTCATGGTTCGATGATTTTTGGCAGACTAATGCCCCTTTTACTTTGAAAATAATATGAAATTTTCAGTTTCTGTTCATTATCTCTCCAATGGTACTACACATTCAACTCAAACTTGACATATGGATATGTCAAAGGAATGTGAAGGTCAAATTCAAATTTGGTCATGATTCAATGATTTTTGGCAGACTAATGCCCCTTTCACTTTGAAAAAAATATTAAATTCTCAGTTTGGTGAACTTAAAATATGGATATGTCATGAGAAAATACAGGTCAAGTTCGAATTTGGTCATGATTCAATGATTTTAGGCAGAGTTATGCCCCTTTTACTTTGAAAGTAATATGAAATTTTCAGTTTCCGTTCATTATCTCCCCAATGGTACAACACATTCAACTCAAACTTGACATATGGATATGTCAAAGGAATGTGAAGGTCAAATTCAAATTTGGTCATGATTCAATGATTTTTGGCAGACTAATGCCCCTTTCACTTTGAAAAAAATATTAAATTTTCAGTTTCTGTTTGTTATCTCCCCAACAGTACAACACATTCAACTTAAATTTGACATATGGATATGTTTTTGAAATGCCCAGGTCAAGTTCGAATTTGGTCATGGTTCAATGATTTTTGGCAGAGTAATGCCCCTAACACTTTGAAAATAATATGAAAATTACAGTTTCTGTCATTATCTAACCAACAGTGTTACATATTCAATTCAAATTTGACATATGGATATGTTTTTGGAATGTCCAGGCCAAGTTCGAATTTGATCATGGTTCAATGATTTTTGGCAGAGTAATGCCCCTAACACTTTGAAAATAATATGAAATTTACAGTTTCTGTTCATTATCTACCCATCAGTGTTACATATTCAACTCAATTTGACATATGGATATGTCAAAGAATCGGGCAGGTCAAGTTGCGGAATTTTGGTCATGGTTCGATGATTTTTTGGCAGAGTTATATCCCTTTCACTTTGGAATAATATTACATGTAGATACATCTTAGTAATAAGCAGTTTAAGTTTGAATTTAGTCGGTCAAATGATTTTGGACAAACTTATACCCCGGTCACATATTCACGGGAATACGCCACGAAAGAGCCACGGATTAATTCCGGCATCGTCCGTAGCTACCCGTTACTGGTCAGTAGCTCTCTGTATTGTAACCGTTATCAATCGTAGTAGTCCTGGTTATATCCGTAGCGATCCTTGACAATTTTGAACATGCACAAAAATTTGCTACGGAAAAATCAACCGTCTAGCGTATCCTGCTAGTCCGTATTAAACCGTACTGATACGTACTGGTCCGTACGAAAACCGTATAGTCCGTACTGATTTCGTAGCAACCAAACTTTGTCAAGGATTTCCACGATTTTTGGTACGGAGAACTACGTTTTAGTACGGTACCCTACGTTTAAGCTACGGTTTTAATACGGATTAATACGGAAAGCCACGACCGTAATACGTTGTACTACGGAGAGACAGGGTTAGCACGGTCTTATACGGTTTATTGCGTTGCAAACACGATTTGTACGGTCCACCACTGTTTAGTACGGATTAATTAAGTATCATGTCTTTTCAGGTGACTACCTTCTTGTTAAAACAGGACATAGTTTTGCGGAACTTCAATAAACGATAATTGCCATTTACTGGCTGCAATTTATATTTGAAATGGCTCAGAATGCGCAGGCAGTGGTCGAGCTGCTAGATGACATGATATAGGAAAAATTCGGCTATCATGCCGAATTGTGTTGAGGACCCGCGTCTGCAAGAAATTCCTTTTATCGGACCTGATATGTGTCTTAGGGGGTCAAGACGCGAATAGGCCGAATCTCTCCGCCGAATCATTTAAACTCTTGCAATTGTTTTCCAGGTGTACCATTTTCTTATGAGCATTTTTGAAATGATGCATGCAAAAAATTGATGGACGGATGTATTAGGTCCTATTAGATCCCGTGGCAATTGTTTTTTCCGTATCAATTCGTTCCCTTCTCCGTATAGGCCGTACTTATTCGTACTAACCCGTGCTTATGACCGTAGCAGACCGTAGTGTATCCGTAGTGCGTTCGTCGCCTAACTTTTCGTGTCGCTGCCGCATCAAAACCGTGTAGGTCCGTAACAATCCGTGTCTCTCCGGGATTTTTGGTGGTAAATCCGTCGGACTCCGTACTTTATACCGTGTGTTGTCCGTACTGGAACCGTAGCGGACTACAGAATTTCACATTTCGCGTAAGTAATCGTGACGATTAGACCGTAGCTCTTTCGTGGCATTATCCGTGAATATGTGACCTTGGTTTTTATCTTTCTTGAATGCTGGAAAAATTTTGAAACTTTCAGTTTCAGCACTCATACTTTTGTGGAAATGTGTGGTGTAACCATTTATTTTGGCTACAAATATGAAATATACTATTTTCAAAAGGTTGAGACTGAATAATTTCATGATAATGTATGAAATTGGTTTGAGTTAACATTGAAAAGTTTTAAGTGCTTTGAACTTTTAAAAAATGAAAACAATAATTTGTGCAAAATAAATTGGAACTTAAATTTATAACATCTGAAATTTTGGCTGCATGCGGGGGCATCCGTGGCATGATGACACATTTTTAGTTTACTATATAATTTGCTTTCAAATATTTATTTATTTTTTCAGTGTGTGAAATATCTCAAACCCTAGTCGGAGTTTTTATTATTATTTTCAAGCGAAACAGCAAAAAAAATTATGCTCTCCTTTTGTTATTCAATTTTTGTTAATCAAATTAAACAGGCAAAAACCCGAACTTTAAGATTTTCACAAACTGCATAGATAAAAATTTTAATCTATGACTTAAAAACAAATCATGACTTTTGATCAACATGTAATAAATTTATGTGAAACGAAACAATAAATTCAGTAAAAAGAATCATTTAACAACAAAATAAAAATATTTACCTCATTTGCTACGCCCTTCTATATTTAATATTACGTCATCCAGTCCAAATAAGAAGTATGGACCGCCCCCGGTCTGTATGCTGTTAATGGACCGGATGACATCATGTATTTAATATAGAGGGGGTATGCAAAGAGGTAAAAATATTCATTTATATCAATTTTTCATATAGAGTTTTTGATGGAAGATAAGATACCCATGTAAAATTATAATAATTTTGCAATCGTTATTCAGATATGCATCAACTGATAAAGATTCGGGAATGTCCGATTTGAAAACAAGTGATAAAGGTATGTCTGAGAATCTGTTTTATGAATGCTTTTCAAACAGATTTGGATAGAATTGCACAAAAATGAAATTTGTATCATATTCGACTGCAAAAACGGTACGCTTAATTGCAACCGGGTGAAACAAGATGTTATGTATTTTATTCCAGCGCTAACAAATGTATATCACTCTATGACATCTGTGGAATGTAAAAGACGCCAATATTTGCCTAAATTGTACGGAAAAGAAAAGGAAGTTTGCTGTTCAAAATTTCAAGATATTGTGAACATTTCAAAACCTGATACTCGAGTATACGATGCTTTGCGCCTTTCATAGAGCTTTATGGTATTTTAGAGAAAACTGTATGAAGGTATTATCAATGAGATATGTGTCTTTGACTTTTGTCAAAAAGGCTCCACTTGCCAAATTTTTATTTCAGTGATTATTTTTATTTTCATAAGTAAATTGAACTGTATATAAATGGTGTTTTGATATGAATCGACTAGACAAATAGTCGACGAACCACGAAAATGGTCATTCTTGTATCTATGTCCACACAGTCAGGTTGATTAATTGAATATTCAGCTTTGTGGGAAACAATCACTTTAAACGATATTTACAGAGAAATTAAGACTGTGCACATTTCATCTCATAAGTTCCTGG